TTTTTTTTTTTTTTTACATATCTAATTATACTCTGCTCTAGCTGCTGCCATGTAAAAATTCAGTACTTTTGTAATAACCTATTGAATTAGTCAGTAAGAATTCAATTTACTTTAAGCCATAGGAGCTGGTTATGTTTTGTATGTCTTTTTTGGAAGTAAGTCAATAGGAGGAACCTCTGGCCATCTAAACGTTGCTGTACTGCAATTTGTAGCATTTGTCACCATTTACCGTGATAGCTGGGGCTGCTTAAAATGCTCAACTTCCAGTCACAGAAAAAATTATCCACATGTATTCTGTCTCATTGAAAGGCCTAAAAATATTTAGGGCTGGCTAAACTTGGCAACTTTGTACCAACATTGTGGTTATATCCCTGGTTTAGAGGAACTTGATTTTATTCTCACCATCTTTAAACTTTCTGCTATCTTCTATTGTTTGTATTAATTTATTGTGGTTTTTGTCAACACTGCTTATTCAACTGACTAGCACTTCTATTTAAAAGTGCTGTAGGAGGTAATAATTAGATGATCATCACTACATTTTCTCTGGATATGAAGCATCCCTGATAGATATGACACCATGAAATACATTAGCAAATTCTCAAATGTTTTGTAAGTCACTTTAGAGTTTGACTGTCAATAAGAACAATTCCAGATGAAAGTGAATAGATTTGCCATTTAGGAGGCATCATTCTAATCTAACGTTAAAAATACAGTGTTTGTGTTTTAATATTAAAATATTAAAATATTTATAACAAAACATCTGAGTAAATCAAAAGATATTTTTGCTGGTGTAAACATTTACTCAGAGATGTTTCATTTATTCAGATACCTTTGATGAATGGGCAGATGGGTCATCCTCCAAGACCTCAGGCAAACTATAGTCAAATCCATCATGCTGCATCCCAAACATCTGTGGCAAGACACCCTTCTAGAGAGCAATTGATTGATTATCTGATGCTTAAAGTTGCCCATCAGCCTCCCTATAGTCAGTGCCAGGGTCCAGCCAGACAATGCCATGAGGTATCAAAGCAAGAGGTAAGGGAGACAATTCTGTTTTATGGATCAGTTAATGGGTTATGGATTGCATTACAGGCATTAAGCGCTGAAAATTATATTTAACTGCGATTTTGTTTTGCTCTTTCTTTCACTGTGGCCTCTGCCAGGCTCACAAAAATGCTAATGGCTTGTGGGCTTTATTACTGCACTGTTGTTTGTGCTCTCAAATAATTCCCATTATTTAGGAACGCTATCAAACTCTTAGATACATTTTCTTTATTTTAGAGTTAACCCTTTGACTTAAAAGTTCCCTTCAGTGTAGTTTACAAAAGCAATATAAACAATACCTCTAAAATAAATAAACAAACCAACAAACCATCAAGTGTAAGAATCATAATAAATACCACTAACATGTTCCAAGGTGATTGGGGTGACCATCTTCATTTTCATAGTCTTTAATATGTAAGGAACCTGTTTTTAAATATTATGTTTTATATTTTAGATTCGAGTAAGAATTGAAAAAGATCCAGAACTTGGATTTAGTATATCAGGAGGAATTGGGGGTAGAGGAAATCCCTTCAGACCTGATGATGATGTGAGTATTAATCAAAAATATTTCTTTTAAATGTATATTAATTTTTACCACTGTTTACCATTTGAAAAAATGGAAAATACAAATATTTATATATTGATGAATTAGTATATCAGTATTGGATATTTTGTTTGCCAGTGCTTTTTTCCTGCATCCTTTATACATTGTTTATAAATCTTTCATAAAAATCCTAAGGTTGTATACAACTGAACATCATTTTGTACCATATTCCAAATCATAAGTACTTTTCTATAAAACTGTTGCTTTCCTGCTTTCAATTCTTAACTGATGAGTTGTATCTTTTCACATATACACCAAATCTTGAGTCTGTATGCATATCCTGGTTGATTGGCCTGTTTTTTTGGCTTATATGCCATTTGATTTCTGGAGATTTGAAGTAGTGTAACAGGTAATATGGTTAAACTATTGCAGTGGGTTCTCTTTTAATTCCATGAAAAATAGAAGCTTCAGTTAATATAAAATGTGACAGTTAAGCTGCTGAGCAGTGCATAATAGAGATCACACTGCCCTGATATTGAAAGACTTGCACTCTCATTTGCAGGTTTGATTAGCGTATCTATGCACTGCCATATGGCCTTTAGTACAAAAATTGTATAGAAGTAATAACATGTTTCAGCCATCTCCTATGCTCTTCTTGTTAAATGACATTCTACAGAGACAGGAATTCTTAGTCTTCATTTAGCTGTTTTGGGTTTAAAGTGGAAATACCCTTTTTTCTCAAGATGCCACCCAATATCTTTACATCTGTATAATGAATATGAAAGATAAAAATAATTCATATACTTAAAAAGTGATTTTTAATTTCCTACATCGTTCCCAGTATCACTTATTTGTGTGCAGCTTTATTTTTCATTAACCTTTTATAACATCAACTTTTCAGAATGTCTTCAAATTGTCAGGTACAAAATACTGAAATGAAGATATTTAAATGTTCATTTACATAATCTTTCCTCCTTTCCTTCTTTTGATAAATACAGTTGTCTTCCCCTTCACCATGGAAATAAGAAAAAAATAAGTAGCAGTTACAGTTTGTACTAGAAAATATTTTCAACTATACAGTTACATTATACATTTTAAATCTAGTTCATTGTAATGTTCAAAGAAAGAGTTTGTATGAACTTCTTTCACCTATTGTTTTATTACTATAATCAGAAAATTCTGCTTCAAGAGGGTATTTATTTTAAAATAAGTCTTTTTACCCTGTATGGTAAATCATACTATTAAAACTAAGGAGACTTTTAAAGATACATACAAGTAGTCCTCAACCTATGACCATTCGTTCAGCGACTGAAGTTACGATGGTGCTGAATGAATAGTAGTTATGACTGGTCCTCAGGATTCCAGCTGTCCCAGCACCCCCATGGTCACCTGATTGCCATTTGCAGCCTTCCCTGTCAGCTTCCCCAGAAAATCAATGGGGAAGCTGGCAGGGAAGGTTGCAAGTTACTGGGGTGTCTCCCCCACCATTGCATGTTCCCCTAGCCCCTTTGCATTCGTGCAATGCCAGCCACTTGTGCACTCCTGTGCACCTTCCTTGACCTGTGCCTCTCGCGTACCCTGCGCACCCTCCCCAACCTGTGCTGTACCTCTCACGCACCCCCTTGCTCCCTCCCTGACCCGTGCTTCCTGTGAACCCTCCCTGACCCTCACCGCACCTCTTTCGCACCCTCATGCACCCCTGCACACTCTTCCTGATCCATGCTGTGCTTCTTGCACACCTTCACACACCCCGACGCATGCGATGCCTCTCGCGCACTCTCCCCAACATGTGCTAAGCCTAAGTGATGCCTGTAGGCTGATAATGCTAGTGATACAGCCTTGGCCTTTTTAGAATCCATGAGATCAATTACTAATGTCCAATAAGGCTTTTCATTAGGCTTCAGCAAATCTGCTCGCCACAGTTGCCCTCCGGCAGTTGGATAAATAGCTAATTCCCTCCCCTCCCCACCAGTTTTGGAGTAAAAGAATTGGATTATTTAAAACTGCGGGGAGGCTTGGGAATTGTTTGGAAGTTTCATGGTAGCTTCATGGCCAGGAGCTTTGCCAAAGCAGAACTAAAAGGTTTATTCAGTAGAAAAGATTTGGAATATTAGCATTTCCCACTGAAGATATTCTAGTTTTTCTGTACAGACTGATACAGTCTAATATTCTAATATTAAGGTGGGTTCACTGCAATTCTTGATTTTCATTACTACCTGGTTAACACATATTTTGTAATAGAGGCAAGTGCAGAAGTAGAATTATCCAGAGATTGGGCTCCAGAGTCTCCTTGCCCTTCTTATACCCATACCTCCCCTCTACATGTTTTTGTTAGTGGACTTAATAGCATGCATGAGTTATTATGATTTTAAATCTGAAACATTTTTTTTGTTCAAAATAATATAACCAGTTTCAACTCTGCGGCTGCTATTAGTACCTGTCCAAAATAAATACATGTTTATCTATTCTAAGCTAAATACTTTGTTTTTGTTTTCTTGAAGGGTATATTTGTGACTAGGGTACAGCCTGAAGGACCTGCATCCAAATTGTTGCAGCCAGGAGATAAAATTATTCAGGTAATGTATTTTAAAATATTCATCAGTTATTTTCAACAACGTTATGCCTTTGTCTGCAAGATTCTGTCACTTTTCTGAGTTTTGCTGCTGTTTACCCCTTCAGATTCTTCATATTGTTTCCTTACTTGTTCCAGTGTCTGTTAACCTGACAGCCCTGATTTACTATTCTGTTTGAATGTTGAATTAATTCACTGATGCCTAGCTGTTGCATAGAGCAAGTAATGTATCAGTTATGATCTGGAGTATTTCATACAGCAAATACAGGTAGTCCTCAGTTGACAACCATTCATTCAGTGACTGTTCAAAGTTACAATGCTACTGAACAAATAGTGGTTACGACCAGTTTTCGGAGTTCTGGCCATCCCAGCACCCCAGTCATGTGATTACAATCTGGGTGCTTGGCAACCGGCTTGTACCTACAACCAGTTGCAGTGCCCTGTGATCATGTGATCACCATTTACAACCTTCCCTGCCAGCTTCCCCAGAAAGTCAATGGGGAAGCTGGCAGGAAAGGTTGCAAGTCGCTGGGGTAAGTCTCCCCCATCCCCTCCTCAAGCCTCACTGCACCTTCCTTGCATCCTCATGCAATCTCCGAGCCTCGCTGCACCTCCCTTGCACACCCCTGCACACCTCTGTACATCCTCTGAGCCTTGCCATGCTTCCCTTGCACCCTCGTACACCTTCCCCGAGCTTCACTGAGCCTCCGCACCATCGCATGCCCTTGCACACCTTCCCCAAGCCTTGCCTTGAAGTATTTTTGTAGTTAAAATTAATGCAGTCCAGTGTAATATGAGCATAATGCTATTTCTACATACTACATAATTCTATCTTCTCCTGTCTGACCCTTCACTCCCCCCCCCAATCTCCAGAGTGTGTTGGGGGCAGGCATTCACGTAACTGGGTTCTAAACTGCACAGTCTTCAAAGGTTAGCAACAGATTTTCCATTTATGCTTTAAAATGGACCAAAAGTCAATGAAATACTTTGAATGTGTTCAGATTATATGAATAATAGGCATTGGTTTAGTATCCTCTACAGTTTTGATTGATAGTTTTTAATTTTGTTAGTTTTAGAGCATTTTTTATTTCATATACAAAATAATTTGGGTAGACCTGGATATTATATATCTTGGTTGTGTGATGCTGAAAGAGTGACAACAAATAGATACAAAAATATCTAGAAAAGAAACAGAGAAATCTGGGAGATAAATTCTGTAAATAAAAAAAAAAATAGGAAGAAAGTCTATTAAGATATTGTCTGTCTTTTCTCCGTCATATATTGCAAGCCACCCTGAAAAAAATAATAATCCCAAGGGTAGCATCCAAAGGGTAGCATTATTAAAAATAAATAAAATTGTATGTAAGGTTTTGATTCTAAATAAAAAATGGAGGGGGGGATTATCATTTAGCATCATATGATAAAATGGTATTTGGAACAGTTTCCAGATGCTTAAATTGCTAATTCAGAAATACTAACATTTCAGGACTTGGTAGTTTTACAGTCTTAACTGTGATGATAAGGATTTTGTTAATTCAGTTATTAGAGGTAGGAGATAGTGGCTGTGACTGTACTGAACGTATGAACACGTTTGCTCTTTTGCTTTCCTCTTCCACCAAGATGTTATTGGAACAGAGAACAAAAAAGGCTATGGATTTTTAAAAAATTCTAAATTAGAATTTCATTTGAATAGCTTTTGTTCAAAAACAAAAATAAGGTTTAAAAACAGAAATAAAGTTTCAAAACTTACTGAAAAGATTTTGCTTTTAATTTATTAACATTTCTGTTTCTTTCCAGGCTAATGGATATAGCTTCATCAGTATTGATCATGGCCAAGCAGTATCTTTGCTAAAGACTTTTCAGAACACGGTGGAACTTATTATTGTTCGAGAGCTTTCTTAAATACTGTGGAGGAAGAGGAAATGTCTGTGTAATTTTTGAAGGACTCATGAAAAACTGAATATTTTGATTATTTTTGTATGCAAAACTTTTAAAACTATGTACAGTAATAAAATAATGAATTTGTGGTTATGGGGAAAAACCACTGTAAAGAATATAAATGAAACAGTTATGGAAATGCATATGGTAACTAGAGGTTAAATTGTTTTAAAGCATTGTAGCAATCAAGGATCACTCCTCCAAGAACAAACCTGTGGTGTATTTTGTACAGATGGTAGGTTTATTTTGTGGATAATTCATATGCATTAAAGAACTTTGTGTACAAGGAGCCTCCATTGTAGCCAGTGGACAGATGGCAGGGCTTTCTGTCCTATAGCAGTTTTGTTGCCTTTAATTTTTGTTCACTTGTTTATAGTATCTTTGTTGAAACCACTTCGGTAGAGTTGGTAAGAAGTTTTAAAAGTTGGCTTTGCAATGTGCATATTGTATGGATGAATTGGTAGATTGAAAGTGGAGTGATTGGATTAAATTAAAAGGCCAGGTAAAAGCATGAAATAAAAAAAAAGAAAGGGAGAGGGGCTTAATGTGAGAATCTATATCTACCAATAGAAAAAATGCAATAAAACATGAAGGTTTTTTTTAGGCAAAGACTGTAAATATACGTCTGGAAGTTCTATAGGATTGGTTCATATCAAATCCATTGCCTGTCATATTCCTACATATATTTTAGTTTTGAATGTTTTTAATCACACAAGTTTTTTTTTCTAATTTGTGCTGTGGAGTTGTACTGAGAAGGTACTCTCTTGTTACAAAAATCCCTGGTTTTATATAAAAAGATGATTTTCTTCTGCCTTGTATGAAATGCTCCATATTCAACTTATTTATACATTTTTTAAAAAGAAACTAAAATGGCCAGTTTTTGCTGTGTTGCCTGTAATGTATCTTGATGCATACATGCATTGAATTTTTACATGTGCATGTTCTGAGTAGAAAAGCTGTGCTCTTTTTAATGGGGCTTATGATACTGAGCCCTATGAAGATTGGGCTGCCTAGGAATAAACGATTCAGAAACAACTCTTGATTTTATTTGGCCTTCAGTTGTCTTGTGAGACAAAAAGGAAATAATACATATGGAGCTGTAACCAAAGCCAGGTTATGTGACACCGTTGCACAGCGATGGAAGGTTGCTACTGGAAGGTTGTAAAGAGACAGGTGTTTGGGGCCTACCAGTTTGTATGATCTTCCTCAAAGGGCTGTTCCTACAGGTGACATTAAATGTGAACTAGACACTTCAGAGTCATTAAAGGGTTTCTAACTATATTAATGTAAGAGTGATTTATTACAAACTGCCTTTGTTCCTTATGACTTGTATAAAATATTGGATTATACATAATGTTTATGACAAATGTTTATTTTCTTCATTTTCATGATGTAACAGGGATGAGATTGCCTAATCCACAAGATAATAAGTAATACATAGTTATTATGGACCACAGAAAAGTGCCATAGAAGACCAGTAACTGTTTTTAAAGGTGAATGATTTAACCCATCATTGGAAAAATATTCAGTTAATTGAAATTTTAATAGAAATTAATAGTTTTAAAAAGAAATCTAGCAAAGCAGCAGTCTGTTATAGATGTTGCAAAAGCATACTTGAATGGAAAAGAATCTACATTGTTAACTGTCAGTACTTTTTAAATACATAAACTCCAATAATATTGCACTTCAAAGAAATTAACAACTTAAAATTGTAATGCATATTTCTTAATTTTAATTGAAACCCTTTAACAACTCTTTGTACATTAACTTTAATTGATTTCATTAATATTTACATAGGCATCGATTTTTTTGTATTAGCAGAAATGTGCTGTATTTTGGTTAAATTCATTTGTTTTCTGTATGCTGTTAATCTTTAAAAAACAAAAAACATAGCTATATGATGACAGGCTTCAGTGTTGCTATTTTTATTTACAGTTTATTCAGTGATTCACATTCATATTCATTGCTTTTAATTACTAAATTCAGTCTTTTAATGAAGGGAATATAAAGAAATATAAAACCATAATTATGTGAAAGATAAAAAGTCTCAAATCTGATTATGGACCCAATTTATCTTTGCATACAAGACATAAGAATGAAATACATTGCATTTTGTATGAAATGATAAACTTTCTAAACTAAATTAGAATTTTATTTGAATAATTTTTGTTCAAAAGCATTGCCAAAAATTCTCATTGTTTAAAGTAACAATGTAAGAAAAATTGGTGCTTAAGGTCTGTTTGCAAGGAAATAAAATATTGCTTAAGGATATTTTGTGGGGAAAACTCACATTTTGAAATGCATTATTCCCTATGTGTTTGTCAGAATATATGTTTTAGAGATTGTTGAAAAAGAAGCTCGCTGAAATGGAAAACCTTTCTTGAAACCATGGATTTCTGATGTTTCTCATTTTGTCAAAATATATCTGGAAATTTGATATTTTCTAGGTATAGAATGGATCATGTTATCAATTCAGGGTTGTTTTTTTTTGGTATCAGTTCTTTAAAGAATCGGTTCAAGTGAAATTTTTGGAAAAATTCCCACATATTTATTGTGTAAATATTTTTTTTACTATTTTTGACTGGAGTTTAAAAATGTGTACATACTTGAACACATCCTGTGAACACAATCATAGCAATAAGTGACACACAGAACCAAGCCTTTATCATTAATTTGCTGTATACTACTTTTTAAAATAACTATTCCCTTGTCAGCAGCTCTGTAATGTTTTTATTGATCAGCATTTATTCAGCATTCCAAATTTTTGTATATAATTAAATTGTTTCTGGAGTAACACACGGAGAATAGATAATAAACTAATGCTCTTTAAAGTTGTGTGTACTTTATTGGTTTCAATTTACATCAGACTGAAGTTTCCTAAATTGCTGAAACTTTCCCAGCTGGAATGATTTAACTTCTAAAAAGTAATTATCTGAATTAAATAGAATGCATGAACCCAAGTAGAAAGTCGTAATTCCAAACTGGCTTGCAGAGAACCTCTGACTGGTATTCCTGAAGAAGACAGATAGATAGGCAGACAGCTAGGTGTATTAAAATAATATTAGATGAAAGGCAGAGCCAATGTTTGAGAGTAGTGTTGCAAACCAAATTAGCAGTTCATTTTGAAAATATGAGCATATTTAAAATAATTACAAAATTGTCAGAGCTAGTCCAGGGCATTTTGCTTCCTTAAGGCGATTGCCCATTTCACATTCAGAAACCAAGTGATCCAAACTCTTAACCTTAATTGGACTTTTTTTTCATCCCTGAGGTGCTAGGCTACCCCAAGAGGGAAATGTCCAAAATATGGGGGGAGTGCCTCTCCAACATCTGCTACATTGCTCAGGGACTAGATATCTCTGAAACCATCTTCGCTGAGTTGAATCTGCCCAAGCCTGCCCTGAGGAGAATCTGCCCCAGGAGAGGGGGCCTGCTGAGGATCCCATGCTTGAGTCTTCTCAGTGATGCCTCCAACCTTGCTTTGGAAGAGGCTTATCCTGTTACATGGACTGCCCTCTCTTAGATTTTCAAAGAACCATGAAAAGACCAGGGTTTCAGTTGATAATTTCCACCCATGAATTCACTTTATGTGAAAAAACATGTGACTTGTGCCAGCATAGTCAATTAGTGTGAAAGGTCTGGAAACATGCCAAGATTTCTTCCCACCCAAACCCCTTTCTGTCCTCATTCATGCATTTACCATCATATTGTGCAGTTGTGCTAGCTGTGGATCCTGTCTTTCCCCTTCCTTCCAAACTCTACCTGCAAAAACTACTGTTACTAAGGGTCAAAATGGCCATCAACATCTTGCCCAGCACCATTACACCAAATGAAAAGGACCTAACGCTTAAGAGTTGAACATCACACTGAAGCTGGTGAAGGAGCCTCAGCCCTAGGATGAGCTTTCAACTTGGGATAACGCGTGTGCAACGTAAGAAAGAATGCAAATAAAATTCTTATTGCATTCTGTTTAGTGCCATATCCACATGCATTAGAAATCCAGCTACAGAAAAGATGGAGAAAGCGCTTTCACTGTCTATAAAACATGAGATAAAAAAAATATATGTTTGAGTAACAGTGCCTAAGAGTAAAGCTCTAAACATTTATGAGCGCACTGGCCACTGCCATTGGGTTACAAAGTATGACCTCATATCCTGCAACCGCCTTTTTTCCCTACTGCTTTATGCGGGGGGTTGGGGAACTTAGTCCAAGCATAAGCAAGGGGAGACTGGACTTCGCATTGTACAGTGGTTTATATATTCGGTATGCTTTGATATAGAACACTCTCCAACCTGTCCCTCCTAGATGTGCCGGATTTCAATTCACATAATAGCGAGATAATTTATCACCATTGGTTAACAATGAGTCCAAAATCTCGACTCCCACCCTCTTCTACAAAGTCCTCTTCCTGGTCAAGCCGTATTCCCGGACACGCGCTTGCAACATCTCCTACCTCATGGAAAACCACGTGAACGGAAGCCGCGCAACGTAATAAACACTCTAGGAAGAAGCGCCTTTTCTATGATAACTTCCGTCTCTTCGCCTACGTGCGTTGGTTTGGTCAGGCAGTGAAATTGCCGCCATCATGATGAACAGCGGTGGAATCGGGGTCCCTCTCGGCTTCCCTTTAACTCCTACTTCGGTTATTCAAGTCACTAATTTATCCTCCGCGGTTACTAGTGAGCAGATGCGGACGCTCTTCGGTTTCCTAGGTGACATTGAGGAGTTGCGCCTTTACCCTCCGGAGTAAGTGAGGCCCGGGAAGCCATAGAGGATGGCGGGAATTTTAGGGAACGGGGTATAAGAAACTGACCGGATGCTGCGCCCTCCATTTTGCTTGTGGGTGGCTGGTGGCGCGCTTGGTAGCAGCTCCGTTTTGAGGCTCGCTCTTTCTGGGAGGAGAGTTGCCCGGAGTGAAGATGGCGCCTATTCACGGGTTTCTTTCTTTCGCTCTTTATCGTGGCTGGTTTCGCCTCAGTCCTATAATTCTCTTCCTTTTCAGTACTGTGAGAAATGCCTTCGACGTTGAGATTAGCGCTTCTATTAGAAGCTCTTATCCGACCCCTCTTCAAACAGGTTCTTTCTGTGAGAGCTTCGTAATGTTTGGCTTTAGAAAAGATACGGCAGGAAAGACCTCTAGCTCCTTCCCAGGCTCTTCCCCCTCAACTCATCCAACCGCTCTAGTTGATTCTATTGTGCAGTTACTCGGGTGTAAGCCTTATTCTTTCAACCGAGCTTACGTCCCTGTACGGCTCCAGTCTTGTTTACATGTTTGGAACAGGTTTAGTTGAAATACATGGACTAAACCGTTAATTCAATATGCCTAGGATAGGTTTGCAAGGTATTTAAGCCACGCTTAGTTCAGTATTGTGGATAAATGGAAGTTCTTCCCTTTTAACATTTTTGGTAAGATATTGTACCACCTTATGTAAAATCTATAATCCTGGCATACATATCTTACAGTCTTTCAGTAATGATTTCTAGGATTATAAGTCCAGGGAAGATGAATTGTTACCAGAAACATTTCCAGTGCTTAAAATATTACAAATACTTGCTATAATCAGATTCTTAGAATTCTACATGTGAATATGCTGTGTGATAACATAGCAGGTACCTAGCATGTATCATCTGATAGCAGACATGATTTTTTTCTTAAGAAGATAAACCTTGTTCATAGCAGAATTCTGTATGCAAAATCAAATATTTATGTATTTATTATAAATGCTTTTATGCTGCTTCACTGATCTGGCATTGAAAGAGCCCTGTTATTAAAAGCTTCCTGAATATTAGAAGTGAATGTGGGCTTTTAATATCTAGTGAAGGGCATTCCACAGAAGGGGAGCT